AAAACCAACAGCGTATACGGAAAATATTTAACAATTATGTAACAAACTTAAAGTATGGCCAATAACAGGTTTCCCTTGTATTGCTTGATGGTATATTGTTGTTAAAGAAAATACAAATAAAAACAATCCAAAAGCCAAATCATAAGCAATTAAGTGTAACGAGGGTGGTCACAAGCTTACAGATATGTTGAGTTCTTTAGAGGGTCTGGTAGATTGATATTATATATTACATAAATGCATATATATACAACATATATATATATATATATATATATATATATATATATATATATATATATATATATATATATATATATAAACACTCACGTCTGTCACCCAGAGGGGTAGGCAGAGACTACGGACTTCCATTTGGCACGATCCTGACACACCTCTTTCACCTCCTTTACATCCATATATCTACGCATACATGCTGGTCGGTTAAAGGTACTTCTAACGTGGCCCATTTTCAAAATATCGCCTATTGGTCGATAAACTTTTTTCTAGGGCGTCATTTCCCGACTCTGCCGTTCACATCTGCCATATAAATTTGCTTTGTCACTCTTTCCTCATTCATTCTTTCTACATGACCAAACCACCGAAGCATTCCTTTCTTAATTCTGGTCACAACATCATTTTGCATACCACATTTATCTTTTATCATGCTATTTCTCACCCTGTCATTCAGATTCAACCCTATCATACTCCTAAAAGACCGCATTTCTACAGCATTTATTCTGCTTTCATGCTTCTTCTGCCACACTCAGCTTTCACTACCATACATTAAAGTAGGGACTAACACTGAATTATGAATTACCATACGTGCCTTTTTTGACACATTCTGGTTCTTCATAATAGAGTTTAGTGCCCCATTCACTCTATTCCCTGCATTTAGTCGTCGTTCTATATCCTTATCATATCTACCATCCCTGCTAAATACACATTCCAAATACACAAACTCATCCACTTGCTCAATTAACTCTCCTTCTATTCTTATTTCACATACCGTTTTGCTTTCTTCTCTTTCAAAAACCATCACTTTCGTCTTACTTGCGTTCACTTTCATTCCCCTTTCTTTTAATGCCCAGTTCAATTAATGAATGAAAAATTAATGTAACCATCATTTTTTTTTATTTATTTAGGACAACCAACAATAAGTACAGGAACACAATGTAAACACTACAAATTACAGGAAGGTTTATATCTAAGTTTCATCTTAATTAAAGGTTGCCACGGCATGCAATGTGGACAACGAATATATTTTTTAAACTTACAACCATAAACTTAAAACTAGGTCTAAATGTTAGTTAAAAGTAAAGGCCTGCATAATTTTTCGTTTGAATTTTTGAGGCTTATCAGCAAAATTATCAAAAGTCACATGTCTTGCAGAGCTGATAATATTGCCTCTGTAACCTGTTTATGGTAGCGTGGTGACCCAAAGTAGTTTTACTGCCTTCAACTGAAAAGGGGACGTATCGGCTGACACGCACTAGTTTAAAAGGTACCTTGAAATTTATTGCACTTAGTAGGTATGGACAGTCTACGGTTCCATTGACGATTTTGTTTAGCAACATGAAATCAAGCAAAAGCCTCCGCTGTTGCAGGGTACTTAATTTAAAATATGTCAGTCGGTCTTCGTATGAAGGTAAATCCTTTATTTTGTAAATTTGATACGAAAGATACCACAAAAAACGCTTCTGGATACGCTCTATGCGTTTCACGTAAAGGTCATAAAATGGAGACCAGACTTGACTACAGTATTCGAGGCTGGAACGTACTAAAGACTTGTACAAGGATATTTTTGTAGAGGTCCTCTTAAATTCTTTAGAATTACGCAACACGAACCCCAACATTTGAAGACCTCTTGTAACAATTCCATCAACGTGCTTATGAAACCGCTACTTTTGTCCAGAATCACGCCCAGATCTCGAACAGAGTCCACTTCTACCAAAGGATGACCATCAATATTATACATAGGTTTCGGAATATTTACACACATTGAGAATCTTATGATTGTACATTTATCGAGGTTCAAAAATAGTATGTTCTTAATGCACCACAAAGACATCCGGTCCAAATCCTCTTGCAATAGGAGTGAGTCACTGTGGTCTTTGAATTTCAAGGACAATTTCATATCATCTGATTACATAAAGCAGGTCGCGTGTTTAAAAACAGACTCTAGGTCATTTATAAAAATATTGAAAAGGATCGGACCGAGATGGCAACCCTGAGGAATACCAAACGTAGGTAGAAATGGTTCTGAGGAGTAACCATTTACCACAACTCTCGATTTTCTCTGCCTGAGGTAAGAAGAGAACCATTCGAGAAGATTGCCAGTGATGCCCAAAATTGAGAGTTTGTGAAGTAAGATGTTATGATCTACAATGTCAAACGCCTTACAGAAGTCTGTGTAGATGGTGTCCACAGACAAGCGGGAATCGAGAGACTTGGAGACATAGTCCACAAACGAAACGACGTAATGTAGAGCGAGATGTTAAAAAGCCCGATTGTTAGGTTAGATTATTTGTTTTATGTGCCAAGCCAAAACAGGACAAACAAATGATTCAAAAACTTTAGCGAAGACAGACAATATGGATATTGGTCTGTTTGACGGATCTGCGTCTCCTGATTTATAAATTGGGACAATACGTGCCTGTTTCCATACCGAAGGGAAAGTACCCGTTTTTAAAGACATATTGAAAATGGTTGTTAAAGGCAAGGATAACACTTCGCGGCAGTTTATTACAAACAAAGGGGGTATGTCGTCAGGTCCAGCTCCCTTGGCCCGATCTAGACCTCTTGTGAAAAATGCAGATTAGCAAGATTATTTGAGGTACAAATTTGGTCAACAGTGGTCACAGACAGTACTGAGCTAGTGTTATACACCGATGCGAAAATGAGGCAAAGAGATTGCATATGCCGTCACCATTATCTGCTTTGTCATCTCCGAAGGTCATGGATGTAGGGTAAGCATTGCTATTACGTTTTTCATTTTTTATGAACGTCCAGAATAACTTTGGATTTTTGGATAGTGCTCCCTCCAGATCCGCGACATAGTTTTTATGACAGGTGCTTATTGATTCGGCGCATCTTTTGCTAAGTGTTTATATTGCAAGTTCGTCCAGTGGATTTTTGTATTTACGGTACCTCAAACGAAGTTTGTTTTTTTCCTTGAGGAGATGTATGAGTTCCTTTGTGTACCCTACTGGAAACTTTTTTGTGGAGGGTTTACATTTTCTAACGTACTTAGTAATGGTGTCTGTTAAAATAGCATAAAATTCTCTTACCATGACATCAACCGAACATGAAGATTGTATACGGTCCCATGAAACTGAATTTAAATGTGTTATGATTTTATCGTAGTCCGCCTTATGAAAGTTATATCTTTGGCTTTGGGCGTTAGGCAATAAACTTGGCGGATTACAACATGAAAATTTTAGAACTAAGGGAGGGTGGTGAGAGTCGGGGTTACTCAGAAGAGAGTCACCACGCATCACACCACTGATCTTCAGCGTGTTGGAGAGAACTAGATCAAGAATTCTACCTTTGTCATTTAAAATATACTTATATTGAGTGAGATTATTAAGAGCAATAAAATCTAGTAGAGCATTATCTAATGAGCTTTTGGTTATAAAACTGAGTGGAGAAGACGTATTACGTTTATCCCAGATAATGTTACCCAAATTTAAGTCACACATAATTAATGTTTTTGCATTTGATTCCAACACACGGTTTGTATTTTCAATGTAACAATCAAGAATGTTTTTTGTAAAGGTGAGGGAAGATATACACAACACAATAATATGTTTTCAGAGGAATTACCTCTTCCGTCTATCTCTAATTCCACCCATACATCCCCACAGTCGCTTTCCAGATGTTACATCCTACGAGAGCAGATATATTTGGATACTGCAATGAGTACCCCGCCACCAGGGCCAGGTTTATTAGATATCGCTCACTAAAAAGTTCGCCATCGTATATAGTATTGTTAAGCCATGTTTCGCGTAAGAAAATGACGTCGTAATTAGAACTTAATACAATATTATAAAACTCTGTGGTTTTTGTGCGAAGGCCGCGTACGTTTTGGTAGTAAATATTTAACGTATTGAATTTTAAGCCTTATTAACTGTACGCTTAGCTTGAGAAAATTTAGATTAGCTTACGATAACCGTTCCGATGTTGTTGAGTTTCGCACAAGTATGTATTCCGATGTATTCGTCTATCGCATGTAAATGCGGCCGCCTCGATCCCATACATGCTTATACTGCAGCTCCCTAGCTCGAGCGCGCGCCGACGCATGGAGATACTTATTTTCAGGCGACCGATTTTCTGTTACGTATATGGCAGTCTTTTTTTCTGTTCCGAAGCCGAGACGCCCAGTGTTCAGTCTATCTTGCGGATGATAATGATTTCTTATATTTACGCGAACACTATACATTGCAGATGATGTTTATTGTACTTTATAGTTGCGGCCAATAGCGTATCTCGCGAGAGAGGGCTGTTTAACTTAATTGAAATTGAGCGGGGATGTGGACTCTCAAGATTCTTTTTCGCAAAACGTGAGCAGTAAAATATATCCGCTTCATTTACAGGACAAGATACGGTTTTACCAAGTTGCTTAACAATGGACAATAGGTTTTCACACTTCCTTTCTGGACCGCATTGGATTTCTAAGTTTGAGGCGCGGGAGATTTGTTCGAGTGGGTTAAAGCTACTGGTTATAGAGTTTAATTCATTCCGGAGGCATTCCTTCTCCTTTAAGATCGTCTCAATGTTGCTTTTACATGTAGTAATTTCAGTGTTTAGTTTGTCAAAAGAGTCGCTAATAAAATTTATGGAATCCTTTATAGAACCAACTTCGTTCCTAAAAGCTTTCAATTCACTGTTTAAGTCCTCCTTTATCTCCCTAATATATTCCTTAATGAAATCTCGAAGTTCCTCCTGCATAATGGTACGCAGCTCCACGCGTGACACACATGAGCCGGAGCAGCCGCTTTGCGCGGCTACGGAAGCGATTGTGGCCGCTTGTTTGGACGTTCCTGCTTTCCACGGCGTGATGTCACATTGTAGTCGGCGTGGGAACTACTAGTAGGTGTTGACAGACGGACCGGCGTGTTTGAATTATCACCGTGCGGTTTTTTGCTGCGAAACTCAGGGCATATCCAACTCATCTTGGTATCAGAAGAGAGTCTCTCGAATTCAGTGGGCGAAACACCAACGCACTGGCCATGATAAAAACGTAAACAGGTGCAGCATTCTAAGAAATCGTAATCGTCAACCGTTGAATGACAAGCGGCGCATTGATGCATGGTGAGTGTTGATTATTATAAATAACTGGGTTCGACGTGGGACGGTCTGCACAGGTAGCAAGCGGGTGCGAAAGTGGGACAGCAATTATGTCGACTATCTTTTATCACGGCGGGGGTGGGGCAGGTCGTCCCGCAAATTAACAGCAGCGCGACGGAGCTGTTTTTTTATAAATGTTTATTAAAAATGCACCATGCACTCACGAGACAATAGCAAAGATTACTACGTCGTTTACCTGTTTTAGTACACAAAATCGCGTCCACGGATCGGTTATTTCATTAGATAGACCGATAACACTTCCACTACGAAAGCTTGTTTGAACGACAAAAAGGATCATTTGCTACTCAGCCACCGATGACGCAAATATGACTTGATCATCGGCACACAAGAGGCATTTGACGGTTAACTCGCCCATTCTTAACCCACATTCTTCATCTTTCAAAGTTTGCAAACACCTGTCCATAAATAGGTTGCACAGCCAAGGGGAAGCTACACAGCCCTGACTGACACCTTTTTGGATGCCAAACCAGTCCGAGTAGACCCCATTGAACCTGACACAAGCACTAGAGTCCCTATAAAGAGACCTTAATTCCTGTATCAAACCAGCGCTCAACCCATATGAATTCAGTGTTTGCCATAACACATTCCTGTCCACTCTGTAATAAGCCTTTTCCAAGTCCATGAACGCACAAAAAACTTTCTGGTTTTTGGCCAAAAACTTCTCCGCAATCATGCGCATGGAAAAGACTTGATCTGTACACCCCACTCCCTTTCTAAACCCGCTTGCACATCCCAAATTTTTCCATCAGTTTCTTTCATAACTCTTTCAATTAACATCTTAGCATACAGTTTACCCATAATACTAAGCAAGGATACCACGGTAGTTTTTGCAGCCCTGCTGTGATCCTTTTCCTTTATATATTGGTACTATAACTGCTTTACACCAGTCATCCGGTATCCATTTTAATTCACAACATAAATTAAACAAGGTGTACAGCAGACCTGCTACCACTCCCTCTCCAGTCCAGCATCTCGAGTGATACTGTTGTGGCTTCGGAACAGTCCCGATATAACATCCTTTTCCTAAGTGTTTCCTATCCTCCCGCCTCCCCCGTATACGCACTGCTCAGAATGGTGCGCCACCTATCGTCGAGAAAAAAAAGAAGCAAGATGGCCGCGCACGCATAAAACGTGCTCGTTACCGCTTGTTTAAAAATAACCAATAAATAAGTTGTAAGACTATCGTGCAATTGCTCGTGTCCATATACATTCGAAGTGCAGTGTGGTATCTGTGTATACACGAGAACTTCAGCCTAAATATACAGACTTCACCATAACAACGATGAGTGCTCCAGTCTTGTGAGTATCCTTACCTTATCTACCCAGTTCTAAAGCTATTTTCGTTTACTTCCCGGTTGGGATCATCGGGTTAGCCAGCCCTTGGTCTGGTTGTTCTCTGGTTCCCAAAACCACCCACGAAACACATTGCGAAACATTCAAGCCGTAACATAATTTCTGGTCCATACGATCCGGGTACCTATGGATTTCTATTTTTATACAGTCCGCTCCTCATAAAGATAATATCAAGTTCAATTTCTAAGGAAAACTTTGATATTTAATCTATTTTTCTTATAATTGAAAGTAACTAATTCATTTCAATTATAATCCTGCTAGACTTGAATGCTCTTGAAGTGTTTCGTATTGCTCAGACTTTGCAGACTTATCTTATTTGGTTGCGTTATAATTGCTAAGTTTATTTCGAATGTGCATTGATAGTCTTACGCTTTGAAAATTATTATAATTTGAGGGTATTTTATAATTATTGTTGGAAAAAATTACTAAATCAGTTTATGGAAATGATTAATTTGGTCTTAGAATAATAGCACTTAAGTATAAATACTTGTATATCTATGAATGTTGGGTCGTTTGTTAATTGTTATCTAATTCAAATGGTTAAAAAAAAACGTTAACATTAAATTCAGTATTTGAATGTTAATTTAGTTTGGAGAAACTTAAATATTGTTTTAAATATCTGTCGTTAATAATTATACTTAACATTCATATTTAATTTTTCGCTGTTATTTTATAATCATGTCGCAAGAAGAAATGAAACTTAAACTTTATACGTCACAGCGAGAGTATGTTTTTCGTTCTATTCAAACTCTTTTCGATTTATCCACTCAAATACGGGAAGACTCCAGTTCTTCTAAAGTTAGCCAATTTAAATCTAGATTTCTTAAAATTGAGAACATTCGTGATGAATATGTGTTGCTTACGGAAAAAATTAATTCGTTAAAACTGGCACTGTTTCCTAAAGAAAAAATAGATATGCAAGCGTTGTCTGCATTTGATGATATGTACTATGCAGTTCTAAGTTTTGCCGCGGAGATGTCCCTACCGGAGCGCAAACGAGGCAGCAGCCCAACGTCCGCTGACGTTAACTACACCTTTACGCCTGACGCGGAAAAGGTACAAGCTAGACTGCCACAAATTGAGCTTCTGAAGTTCGACGGAAAAATTGAGAATTGGCAAACATTTTACGACACTTTCGTAACGTTAATTCATAATAATAAATCAATCGCGAATATTACTAAATTTCATTATCTCATTTCTTGTTTATCGGGATCCGCTTTAGGGATCGCAAAGAAGGTAAAATTAACTTCCGATAATTATGAGCTTGTATTCAATGAACTTATTAAGCGTTATCAAAATAAGCGCATTTTAGCAGTGGCGTATTTAGATCAAATAAATAACTATCCTTATTTAAAAACTCCTAATTTCAATGATTTACAAACATATACTAATATTCTTTGTGAGTCAGTCAGTGCCCTTAGGCCTTAGAGCTAGATGACTTAGGCGATTTTATTTTATTTAACGCAGCGTTTCGCGCACTGGACTCCGATACGCGCCACCGCTTCTAATCTGAAAATAAATCGGAAATTCCTTCTTTTCAAAGTCTTATGCAGTTTCTTCAAAACTATGTAAAAGTTTTAGAAATAAATGCTAATGTTGACATTAGAGCGCGATCTTCTCAATTTTTAGGCGGTAAACAGATCAAGAATGTTTCACCGCGGGCACCGAACCTGAAACGTTCCGTGCTCACTACTCGGTCTAAGCCTACTAGTTCGAAGCAGCTGGCTTCACTAGAGTCCTATTATTGTGGCGCAGCACACAGTATCTATAAGTGCCCCACTTTTCAATCTTTGGACACCAGTGCTAGAATAAATATTGTCAAACAAAATAATTTATGCATTAACTGTTTACGAAAGCATTCTCTTGATAAATGCGTCTCAAAAATGAGATGTTTTATCTGTAGTGGTAATCATCACACTCTGGTACACATCGACAACCAAGTTCGATCACCGACCGCGGTGACCACCGGTTCGAGTAGTGCCCACACTAACACGAGTGCGTTCGTGGGAGAGGCTCGTGGCCCGTGCGTGGTGCTGCTCGGGACGTGCATGGTGCGTGTGCAGGACTCTAGTGGCACGTTCCATCAAGGAGAGCGCTCATCGATAGCGGCGCTCAGGACTGCTTCATCACCATGAAATGCGCAAAGAGACTTGGTTTTCAATTACGTCGATGCACCACAACTGTGGCTGGACTTGGACAACAGTCTGTGTGTCAAGTCAAGGGAGTGACTCAATGCTCTATACGCCCGTGTGATTCGAATGACCCACAATTTGATATTAGTCCTATAGTCATCGATAGCATTACTTCTAAAATGCCAACCACTGATATTCCTCTAGCGGTTCGAGACTGTTATAAACACTTAGTATTAGCGGACCGTGACTTTGACAAACCGTCGGATGTTGATTTATTGCTAGGTGCTGAAGTATTTCATCACATCTATGACGGCCGTGTCATTCAACCAGAACCCGGCTATCCTGCTGCTTTACATAGCGTCTTTAGTTGGGTTCTCTCAGGACCCACCAATGTGGAGAGTCCGGTAAAATCGGTTGGCACTTCGTTAATTACTTCAACCAATTCATTGGAGAAGATGATGAAACGATTTTGGGAAGTCGAGGAACCGCCTCATCAACATATACCTGCTCCAGAAGATGAGGAGGTCGAACGCCTGTATTCCACTCAAACTTATAGGGAATCGGACGGTCGATATGTAGTCCCTATCTTATTGACGCAGTCGTCTGTCTATATGGGAGGCTCATATAATAGTTCTTTGTCGCAGTTTATAAATCTTGAGAAAAAACTTTGCCGACAACCAGATCTTAAATCACTTTATAACGATTTTATGCGTGATTATGAGCAGCTTAATCATATGCAACCAGTGGGAAAGAATATTACCCCTGGTAGATATTTCATTCCTCACCATTGTGTGATTCGTCCAGAAAGCATAACGACCAAACTTCGCGTTGTATTCAATGCGAGTCACGAGACGACTAATGGACTATCTTTAAATGATATTGTTTACACTGGACCGAAGTTACAGGCTGATTTGGTTGACATTATTACTGGATTTCGGGTCCATAATATAGTTTTTACATGTGACATATCTAAGATGTACAGGCAAATCTTGATAAGGCCTGAGGATCGAGTGTGGCAACACGTACTATGGCGTGAATCCCCTTCCTTGCCTGTTCAAGAATACATACGGAGTTAAAAGCTCGCCGTACTTAGCGATACGAACATTACATCAGTTAGCCGCAGATCACGGTGATCAGTTTCCTCATGCAGCTGAATCTCTTCGGCATCATACTTACATGGACGATATTACTACAGGTGCTTCCTCAGTCGAAGCAGCCTCTCAGCTTAAAGAAGATTTAATCAATCTTCTTAATTGTGCTCAGCTAGATTTGCGTAAGTGGAGCAGTAACAGCCTTTTATTTCTTCGATCGTTACCCATGGAACATTGTCAGTGTCCGAAGACATTTTCTGATGATAGTTCAATAACGCTTAAGGTTTTAGGAGTTCAATGGGATCCTGCGGAAGACTATTTCACTTACTCCGTCTCTCCTGTGAATGTGGAGTTTACAAAACGTTC